CATGATTTTGAATAGGTAAATTTAAGAGAAAAAGTTTTTGCACTCTGCAAGCCTCCCAAACCCTCTGCACGCCTTGGTGTTTTTTTTCAAAAGGCGGGGCATGCAGAGCTTCGGGAGATTTGTAGAGTGCTCCTGGGGGCTGGGGAGGGCAAAAACGAGCAAAAAACCAGGCAGTTTTTGCTCATCTTTGCCCCCCCAGCCCCCAGGAGCACTCTACAAATCTCCCGAAGCTCTGCATGCCCCGCCTTTTGAAAAAAAACACCAAGGCGTGCAGAGGGTTTGGGAGGCTTGCAGAGTGCAAAAACTTTTTCTTTTAAATTTACCTCTTCAAAATCATGGTGCGTCTTATACTCCGGTGTGTCTTATAGTTTGAAAAATACGGCAATTACTTCAATTACCGTATTGCTACAAGGCATCCTACAGGGGGGCTGCCTTTGAAGACCACTCAAATTTTGCAGCTGGTTCAAAATGCAGCAGCCCATCTCTTTTTAAGTAGGAACCAGCCAACCAGATCTGTGGGCATTGCACTTACTACTACGGTGCTGCTCGTGAGTTCTAACTTAATATGGTCAACTAGAATGCATTTTATAGATGGTTATACTTACGATTAAATTAACAACGGCCAAAATGAAAAGGAGGACCAGAACACAAATTGCCAAATTGCCTTTTCTGCCTCGCAATCCAGTTTTGTGTAGACGATCTTCATCAATCGGGATGTATCCAGCCTTGAAGTTACTGTTATGCTCTTTGTTAATATTTCTGCGTTCCACGGCCTTTTCTCGCATCGATTTCTTCATGGGGCCATTTGAGCTTTGCTAAAATTTCAGCCAAAGACACAAATATGGGAATCGGAATAGATAATATTTCATTTCTGCCACGATATGATGATCGCACAAAGAATTGCCGATTAATATTTAAACGTTTTAAAATGATCAGAAAGCATCAACATGGAGCATACCATTGATTATATTTACAAAACAATTACATCCTGGCGAAAGGGAGCAGAAGTTGAAAAATATGTCAACAATCCTTACAGAGCAGGTAGTCCTTGAATTATGATCATGACTGAGCCCAGGAATTTCAGTTGTTAAGTCATGACGGACATAATGTAGGTCACCACATCATCGGACCTCATTTTATAGTCTTTTGTTGCAGTGGTCATAAAGCCAGAATCCACTGCTTTCAGTGATTCACTTAGCACCCGGCGTCGCCCACATGGACGCAGCACGCTCACACATTGTAGCTGCAAACGACGCTTCTGCAAGCTTCTGTGACGCACCAGCTTCCCGGCGGAGCATCGTGCAGGTGCTGTATGCGTTATGCGTGTGCGCAGAAGCGCTAAAAGCTTTAAAACACCGTGAGGAACTTGGGCGGGCGGGCGGGCCCTCCAGAGCTCCGTACTGGAGCGGTACCCAGTGCTCCGGGCAGGCTCCGGTACGCCCGTCCTGGGGTGTACCGCCTGCAACCCACCACTGCAACTGTTGCAAGAAAGTTGTAACATGGGACAGAACTCACTTAACAAATGTCTCACTTAACAACAGAAGTTTTGGGCTGAATTGTGATGGTAAGTTGAGGACTATCCATACTCTTGATATATATTTTTTTTAATGTTGTGAACAGGAAATCTTTTCAGCCTCCCAACAATGTTTTCGACGTTATTCTCGGTCTGTGATGGCAAACCTGTGGCACACGTGCCAGAGGTGGCAGGCAGAGCCCTCTCTGCTGGCACATGCGTCGTCACCCCAGGTCAGATCTCCATGACGTTTCTTTCGTGAGCTTCTCTTTCCCTGCAAATGACGAAACAGAAGCTCACAAAGAAAAATATCTTACCTCTTGCCGCACCGCTGGTGTTGGGATGTCCCGCCTCCCGCTGGCCACCTGGTCTCTGCTGCCCATGCACACATGTCCGGACATGTCCACGCACGCATGCAAATGTCCCCGCATGCACACATTTGTGCACACACCCCTTTCTGTTTGGGCATGCCCATGGGTGTAGTTTGGGCACTCAGTAGATAAAAGGTTTGCCATCACTGTTCTTAGGTTGACCTTTCTCAGTTGGGTCACCCGGCTTTCCACATCTCCTCCACCATCCTTGTTAGACTTTAGACTTAGAATAACTTTATTGTCACTTTGAATGGACACGTATCGGCGTACATTAAAATAAAACTGCATGCAGCTCCTAGAGAGGGTCACCGCCTCCTTTATGCGCTACATAAACAGGACTAAATAAATAAATACAGACATACATACAAAATTACGCATATACCCACATATATTATATGACACGGAGAAGCAACACTGTCTAGATCAGTGGGGCCCAACGTGGGGCCCAGGCCCCCCAGGGGGACAATTTGATTTTTAATGGGGGGCAATTTGAACCTTGTTGAAACCAAGTTAATAGCCTTTGAGGCTTCCTCCGTGTGAGTAGAGTTTACTTTTTGAGTAAAATAATTCATTTCATTTTTCATTTTTCATTTTTCATTTTATTATATTTATATGCTGCCCTTTCCCCCCG